CCTCAAAAAGTTAAAAATAGAACTCCGCTAAGGTCCAGCAATTGCACTATTAGGTATTTACCCAAAGGATACAAAGGTACAGATTCGAAGGGGCACATGCACCCTAATGTTTATAGCAGCATTATTACCCATAACCAAACCAAAGAGACAGCCCAAATGTCCATCGACGGATGAATGGATAAAGAAGATGTGGTATATATGTGCAGTGGAATATTACTCGGCCATCAAAAAGAATGAAATCTTGCTGTTTGCAGTGACATGGATGGAGCTAGAGACTATTCTGCTAAGTGAAATAAGTCAGTCAGAGAAAGACAAATACCATATGATTTCACTCATATGTGGAATTTAAGAAACAAAATGGATGAACATATGGAAGGGGAAAAAGAAAAAGAAAAAGGCTAACAAACCATGAGAAACTCTTAAAGATAGAGAACAAACTGAGGGTTGATGGAGGGACATGGGTGGAGGATGGGCTAGATGGGTGGCAAGTATTAAGGAGGGCACCTGCTGTGATGAGCACTGGATGTTATAAGTGAGGAATCACTGAATTCTACTCCTGATACCTCTATGGCACTGTATGTTAACTAACCATAATTTAAACAAAAATTTGAAAAGATAAAGATCATTTGACTATTTTATGTGGGTCTATTTCCAAGTTTCTATTATGTCCCACTGATTGGTCTATTCTTGCACCAATACCACCCTGTCTTGATTATTGCACCTTTATAGTGAGTCTTGAAGTTAGGTAGTGTTAGCCCTCCAACTTTTGTCTTTGTTTCTTACTGCTTTGCCTCTTCTGGATCTTTTGCTTCTCCATATAACTCTTAGAATCAGTTTATCAATATCCAGAACATAACTTGCTGGGATTTTGATTGGGATTGCATTGAATCTGTAGATCAAGTTGGGAAGAACTGACATCTTGACGATCAAAGACTGGAGTCTTTAACTCTCAGACTTGTGCACACTAAGCATCCAGAAATTTGTCAATCATAGTTCAGGTTTTTCTACCCCATTCTCATGGTGGTTTTCTATCATTAATCTCTGCTCCAGCAAGCCATGCCTCGCTGTTATTGACCTATGTCTCGCTAATCTTGGGGGTAGTGGTTTTCCCTGTGTCCTCCCCTCGCCTATAGATCCAAGAAGAGTTGTTGATTTTTCAGTCTGTTCAGCCTTGTACTTGTTGGGAGGGAGTAGCAACTTCCAAGCCATGCGGGACCAGAAACCAGAAGTCAATGATTTTTTTTTTAAAAGTTATTACACTTCTCAAAAAATTTAAAATAAAATTATCATATGATCCAGTGATTCTATTACTATTCTATACTATTACTCAAAGAAAACAAAAACACTAATTTAAAAAGATATATACTCCTATGTTTACTGCAGCATTATTTACAATAGCCAAGATATGGAAGCAACCCAAAATGTCCATCGATAGATGAAGGGATAAAGAAGATGGCTATGTGGGGGGCGTGTGCATGCGTGTGTGTAATGGAATATTTTTCAGCCATAAAAAAGAATGAAGTCTTGCCATTTGTAACAACATGGATGGAGCTAGAGAGTATTATGCTAAGGGAAATAAGCCAGTCGGAAAAAGACAAATATCATATAATTTCACTCATATGTGTAATTTAAGAAATAAAACAAATTAACAAAGGCAAAAATACAAACAAATAGCCACTCTTTTTTTGGTTTATTTATTTACTTTCAGAGATTAAGAGAGAGAGAGAGAGAGAGCAAGGAAGGGGCAGAGAGAGAGAGAGAGAGAGAGAAAACAGACTCTTAAATGTAGATAACAACCTGGTGGTTGCCAGAGGTAAGGTCAGAGGGGGGATGTATAAAATAGGTAAAGGGGATTAAGAGTACACTTACCATGATGAGCACTGAGTAATGTATAGAATTGTTGAATCACAATATTGTACATCTGAAATTAATGTAACACTGTGTGTTAATTACACTGGAATTAAAAAAAAAAAACATGACACTTCATAATTTTGCATGTCAGGAATTTGAGCAGGGCTGAGATGGCAACCATTCTGCTCCATATGGCATCACGTGGCATCAGATGGCACCTGGACTGCTCCAGAGCACTTTGTTGTTGCTGTTGGTGTTGTTGCAAATTACACGTAAAATGTACCACTTTAAAATTTCCCACTCAATGGCATAAAGTTGTGCAACCCTTAAGGAACTCTCTGGTTCTAGAACTTTTTTACTCTCGCAAAAGGAAACTACACTGGCAGTCATTGCCCATTTCTTCTTTCCCCACGCTCTCAAAACCAGTTATCTATTTTGTGTCTCTATGCATATGCCAGTTCTTGATATTCCGCATAAGTGGAATCACACATATATGCCCTGTTTTGTCTGGCTTCTTTCACATTCTTTCTTCCACAATGCTTCCGATGTTCATCCATGCTGTGGCAGGTGTCAGTACTTTATTCCCAGCGATGTATGAGGGCTCCAGTTACTCTATATCTTCAACACGCTTATTTCCTTTTTGACGACGACCGTCTTGGTAGATGTGAAGTGTTCTCTTATTTTGGTTTGGATTTGCATGTCCCTGATTACATGTTGACCATCTTTTCATGGGCGCGTTGGCCATTTACACTTCACGTGCTCCTTTGTGTGTGTTCTTTGGAGATGGGTTTTTTCAAAAGTTTTTTGGCCTATTTTTCCTTAGATTGTTTGTATCTTTGTTGTTGAGTGGAAAGAATGCTTTTTATATTATGGATACTGGACTCTTATTAGATGTATGTGTTACAAATATAAAATACTCCCATCTTATGGATCATCTTTTCACTCTCTTGATAGTCCTTTGAGGTACAAAAGCTTTTAATTTGTATTTATTTTGAGAGAGACAAAGACACTAAAAGAGGGGGAGGTGCAGAGAGAGAGGGGGAGAGAGAGAATCCCAAGCAGGCTCTGCACTGACAGCCTCACAAAGTGTGAGATCATGACCTGAGCCAAAATCAAGAGTCGGACACTCAACCAACCGAGCCATCCAGGCGCCCCTAAAAGCTTTTAATTTTGATGAAGACAAATTATCTATACTTTTCTTTTGTTGCTTGTGTTTTTGGTGCCATATTCAAGAAACCATTGTCAAATGCAAGGTCATGAAGGTTAACTCCAAAGTTTCCTTCTAAGAGTTTTAGGGATTTAGCTCCTATTGATTTATTGTTCATTGATTTTTGTGTCTGGTATGAGATGAGTATCCAACTTCTGTTATTGATTTCTAGTTTGATTCCATTATGGCAAAGGAGCTACTTTGTATGATTTCCATCTTTTAAAATTCATTGAGACTTGTTTTATGGCTTAGTATACGGACAATCCTGGAGAGTACTTTGTGAGCACTTGAGAATATGTACCCTGCTGTTGTTGGGTGGGCGCTCTACAGGTGTCTGTTAGACCTAATTGATGTATAGCATTGCTCAAGTGTGCTCTTTCCTTACTGATCCTCTGACTAGTTTGTCCACTATGGTGCTGAGCCTAACGCTTCACCAGAGGTGAAATCTTATGGTCTTCTCAGGTCTTTTCGACTCTGAGCCCTGCCCCGGGCATGCACATGGTTTTCTAGATATCCAGGTACACACACAGGAGCATCTCAAAGCCCTCATTCTCCAAGGTAACTCATTCCCCAGTTTTTCCTTCCAGGAGTTGGGTGAACCAGAAGCAATTGCCCCCCTTGTGTCAATCCTTCAGGGAGCTCCAGACAGGTTCAAACAGACAAACATAATTTCTTGGGACTGAGGTCCACTCCCCTCCCTCCAGAAGCGAGAACCCACACATGGAACGTAAGCTGTCATCCTCAAGACTGGGGGGGGGGGGGCATGAATACGTTCAAATGCCACAAAACTCTCTTATCATGTTTCACTGGCTTTTCTCCTGATTCAGTGTTCGCTTGGTTGCTATAAACCTTTGCTATCTTCCAGAGTCCTTCATTCTGACAGGTGTCTTTTTCAGTGTTTTCAGTGTTTCTGGAGAGGGACTGACCCCCAGAATACCCTGCTCTGCCATTTCCCCCAACATCGCTGGGTTCTGTGAGTGATGTTTTGAAGTTTCAATCCTTATGTTAACATCTTCACTTTATAATGTGCACTCTGTTTTCTGACAGGAGTAACAAGTCACAGGAAAGATAAAACTAGAAATGTCTCCAGCATTAACAAACTTGTGAAAACCAATAAAATGATTTATTTTATATATGCAAACTCAAAATCTCTTTGTACACTTAAATTTCTGCAAATTAATCCAGACAAAACAATACTGCTCCATATAAACCTTTGTATAAACCTTAAAGGAAATATATACATTATTTTTTTTTTCTTTTAGTGCTCCCAAAGCACAGAATGTACAAGTCTGCCTGAAGACTTTCGGTCATCACACACAAGAACAAATGTCAGGGTTGGGGCAGCCTCAGGTGCACTTTGTAATGTCTCTAGACAAAATACAAGAGAGTTGGAGGTAGATCATTTGTGACTCACCCTGCCCCCTCCCACAGAGAAATAAGTTACCCGAATAGCAGCTTTCTTACTCTTTGTTTCAAACTGTCCTGAATATTGCATGGTTTAAAAGGCACAACTAGGAATTGTTGAAAACTCTGTTCGGCACACACAAGATGACCACCAAGCAGTGCTCCACGTTACAGGTGGCTCTTAGTCACTCTGGAAATGCCCAGAACAGCAAAGTTCATATGAGGAAACCCTTGTCACATCTAGAAGGGGCGACAGTGGGGCGCCTGGGTGGCTCAGTTGGTTGAGCGTCCGACTTCGGCTCAGGTCATGATCTCGCAGTTTGTGAGTTCGAGCCCCGCGTCAGGCTCTGTGCTGACAGCTTGGAGCCTGGAGCCTGCTTCGGATTCTGTGTCTCCGTCTCTCTCTGCCCCTCCCCTGCTCACATTCTGTCTCTCTCTCTCTCTCTCTCTCTCTCTCTCTCTCTCTCTCAAAAACAAATAAAGATTAGAAGGGGTGACAGTGCTTACTGAAGTTGACCTGCTGAATTAATAATATCACCTTCCTCAACTGGGAAAAAAAAACAACAAAACAACAAATTAATACTTTCAGAAAAACCCTTAGCCAGCTTTTACTTCCAGAGAATCATAAAAAAAAAAAAAAGCTCCATGGCTTTTTCTTAGCTTCGGGAAGGCAATTCCCTTGCCTAAAACATTCTAGAAAGCTTTGACAATATCATCTTCCATCGTACAGCATAGAAAACTTGCCCTTTTTTCTCCTTGGTCTTTGCATTAACATGATGATCTTCTGTTGATGTGATTAACGTTGTTGAGGTGGTGGTGGGAGTCTATCTTTTCTAGTACCTTCTCAAGGTACTGGATTAAGACTCGTCTTTTAAACCTAGAAATAAAGAGAAATTTTATTAACCAAAAGATACTCGAAGCCTTTCCAATGTGCAAGGCACTGTGCGGGGCACAAGGTGGAACTGGTGGTCTACATGCGGCTTAGCAGGGGCGCCTGGGTGGCTCAGTCGGTGGAGCATCCGGACTTCGGCTCAGGTCATGATCTCGCGGCTCGTGAGCTTGAGCCCCGCGTCGGCTCTGTGCTGACAGCCTGGAGCCTGCTTCGGATTCTGTGTCTCCCTCTTTCTCTACCCCTCCCCCGCTCATGCTCTGTCTCTCTCTGTCTCAATAGACATTCAAAAAAAATTTACCAAAAACAAACAAAAAAAGATGCGGCTTAGCAAATACTGACAGTGCCAGCTTGAGGGCCTGAGCCCACCTCAGGCTGTGGTGAGCTTAGAAGATCCCACAGACGTGGATGAATGAGTTGGACTCCGGTAATACCAATCTCAATGCCTCTGGAGACAGCCTTAACTACGGGAGAGAGCCAGGGTTTGAGAAAACCAAGGAACAGCTCATTCCACCCCCCGCCCCCCTTTCTGCATTGGGGCCTACCGCTTAACGACAAGCGGAGACGAAGGTCTCCACTTCACACCCACCTTGCAGCTTCCTTGATGGTAAACTCAACAAATTGTTTCTTGACTGCAAGAGACCCTTGCACTTCTTCAAGCAGAATGAAAATCCTTTCATACTCTGAAGATATTTAAAAAAAAAAACCCAAAACCTCAGTATTCTTAAAAAATACGAATAGGAAATAAAATTCAATCCTTACACATCCTCAGTAATCAATCCTCACAGGTGGAAAGTTATCATTTGTATTTTAAACACTCGAACCCAAACATCCGTGCATCAGCTACTAAGGAAACTCTTGTAAACACTGAACAAATGTGGCAGACTGAATAATGGCCCCCAACGTTGTCCACATCTTACCTCCTGGAACCCGTGAATATGTTGCCGTATACGGCAAAAGGGACTCGACTTTGCAGATAGAATTGAGCTGTGGATCTTGAGATGGGGAGATTATCCAGGCTTATGCATCAGTGTAATCACAACTATCCAAATAATAGGAGGTGGGGAGTAGCATTGGAGCCAGAGAGAAAAGATGTACGGATGGGAGCGCGGCTAGACAGGAGAGAAGGCCCTGACGTTACTGGCTCGAAGCTGAAGGAAGGGGCCAAGAGCTAAGGAGCACAGACAGCCTGTAGGAGCTGGAAAGGGCAAGGAGACAGATTCCCCCTAGAGTCTCCAGAAGGAACACCTTTCTGTTAGCCCAGTGAAAATAACTTCAGAATTCCGACTTCCAGGACTGTAAGGGGAGTACAGTTTTGAGCCACGTGGTTTGTGGCAACTTGTTACGGCAGCAAAAGGAAACTGTTACAATCAGTGAGGTGCAAAAAGAGAAAAGGGTGTATTGGGTCCTTTTAGTTAAAGCAAGAGGAATCACTTTAAATTATGTGAAAACCCAGGGTGCTGGGTGGCTCAACTGGTTGAGCGTCCAGCTTTGGCTCAGGCCATGATCTCATGGGTTCATGAGTCTGAGCCCCACGCACGTCAGGCTTTGCGCTGATAGTGCGGAGCCTGCTTCATTCAGATTCTCTGTCTCCCTCTCTCTCTCTCTGCCCCTCCCCTGCTCGTGCTCTCTCTCAATCTCTCTCAAAAACAAACATTAAAAAAATAATAATAAATTATGTGAAAACCCAATACTTCCCCAATACCTCCAGAGATAGCAGGAATCTATCCTGAATCATAGAATTATGAGAAGGACCCTCCCATTGTATTATTGATACTTGTGCTTTCGTTACTTACTTCGTCCAAATTTTCGAACTTCCTTCATTAACTGATGTTTTATATCAGCATTGATTCCTTGCGCCATAGCAGGAGTTATTTGCAAGGTGTTTGGTACAGTTCCCAAAGTGGGTGTCACCGAGGCTTTTCGATCATCTACAGAGACACTGCAGTGTTTGCTTCCTCCTAGAAGTGCATGCGTACCAGGTTTGTGAATCAGGCCGTCTTTCCTTAGACTAGTGAAGTCGTCAGATAGAGAATCCAACTGGTGGTGGTGTGGGATACCATCTCCTGCCATATTCATAAGCTCTGGGGGAGCAGATTTTGACAAGAAGCCATCGGGTGGGATCTGACCATTTTCCTTCTTCTCCTCATGGACATCAGGAATGACAGTGACATCTGGAGGCCAAATCAAGAAGGTAAACTGTGAGGTGGGTGAGTTATATCAACCCCACAGGCAGATCTTCACGTCTGAGGAAATTATTTCTTTCAAAAAGCAAGAAGGTGTACAGATGGGAGGCTGAGACCCCTCAAACCGAGCCCAGGAAAATAATACAACAAAACCACCTTCTTTTCTTCACGGCACTCCCAATACATATGGAAACCGAGTCGGGCAAGACAACTACTGAGCGTTCTCAGGTCCCTGGCACCCGTGGTTTAGTGGCTGCTTGTGCTTTACAAGCTGAAAGGCAGCAAGTCTCGCTTGATGTCATGATTTCTGTAATTTACATATAAAACGCCATGCTTAAGAAAGTAAAGAAAATGCCAGGCTTCACCGAGCTTGGCACCAGACTACATGGGCCCCCTTCAAATTCTCTCCTCTCTATCTCAAAAGTTCTAAGAAAACAGAGGTGGCCGTTAGGCCTCAAGGGTCTACATGTAGTCCGTCACCAAAAATCTTTGTATGTGATTCTCATCATTCCCTTGTGTGACAAGGAAATGGGTTTCCTTTTACTCCAGGCCTGACACCTCTACTTCATATGCTCTGCCTCCTTCCTGCCAGGCACTGAGACAAAGCCGGAGGATCGGCAGTGAACGAGACAGACAAGAACAATCCCTATCCTTACGGAACTTACATCCTCGTGGGGAAGTCAGATGGTATGTGTAATTTGGGCAAGGGGAAGAATACAGTTTGAATTCTTGTTGGGAAGGAAGGTATCAGGGATGTGACAGAGAGCAGGAGGGGGAGTCTCCGTGACCCCGGGGTCAGGCAGGGCCCTGAGGTGAGCCGTGGAGCAGGAGACACGGCGGCCTGTGCACGTGAGGAGGACTTCTGGCTGCCGTGAGGGCCAGTGCGGGGCCCTAGGAGGGGACGAGCCGGGGCCGTGGAGCAAAGGACAGAGGCAGAGAGAGCAAGGAGGACACCCAGAGGACGCGTGCAGGAGAGGAGGGCAGGCCCGGGTCCTGCAGAGCGTGTAGACCAGCGTCGGGAGCTCCGATTCTGTTCTGAGTGCTCGGGGGAGTTGGTGGCGGGTGGATTTCCGTGCGCACGGGGTCAGTCGGGCTGCAGGGCGGTGATGGGTCAGGAGGGTCAAGTGGGAGAGCAGGGAAATCAGATGAGAAGTTGTTGTAGCAGCTTGGGGACAGACGGTGGCAGTTAAATTTAGGTCTGGAGTTTGAAGCAAGGTGTAAACACCCAAGTTGTTGACATGTAAATGTCCTGGAAAGCCCAAGACTGCATGGGATCACCTGGGGTGGGGGGGGGGGTGGTGTCTGGAATCCAGATTTGGGTTCCTACGCTATTTACAGGTGGGAGAGAAGGGGAGAAACCAGAAAAAGAGGGTGAAGAGGAGTTGCCATCAAAGGGAAAAGAAAACTAGGATGTGTGGTGTCTGGGAACCTGAGAAAGTTTCCAGGGAGGAGGGAGTGAACAACTGTGACAAGTGACGCGAAGAAGCAACGGCAACACGCAACAGACCCTGGGGGCCGTGATGACACCTGTCTCAGTGCGGTGGGGAGGCAGAGCCAGACCGCACTGGGCTAGAGCGGGAGCAGGAGTTGAGGACACAGAGAGCCAGTGCAGACCCAGCCTCGTATTAAGCTGGTTCGCTCTTGCTGCGTCGAGAACCTGCTTCCTCGTTCTGACTCACGCAGCAACACGCTCCTATCCCCATGTCTCCCCCTTGTGCTAGTTACTACATAAGTATGGATCTTCTTGCCTCAGACAGTGACTCTGCTCCCCACGGGGCCCTTTGTACCTACCACATTGATGATTTCATAATGGTTTACTTAACGAACAAAAAGCGGATACAAAGGAAATGAACACAAAGGAAAATAAGGCTGTTTAGTGTTAGTCTTCTAGGAGCCATAAGGAAATCACAACCACTACTCTATACCTGTATGTACAAGGGTGGGTTTTATGAGGTTTGGATAAGATGGGAACCACGAGGCTGAGGGTGGTCCCTTTCCGCCCACATGGTTAGTTACAGTGGGTGGTGTTTGTGGTTTCGCCAACAGCAGGGACATACTCCGCCTTCTCTTAGATGACAGAGGACTGTTGGGTTCTCCGGGGCGCTTCACTTTGTTCTGTGGCCCTGCCACGAATTCATCTGCTTCATCAATCATCATTCCCTAGAAAACACCAATGAACACTCTCCATTAAAGAGCACAGCGCCCGCACGCGGCACGCGCACACTCAACCATACATCCTGTTACCAACACACGTCTTCATCACGGGCCAGAGATTTACCGTGCCCCACCTAGACCCTGTTCTCAGAAAGTGCTACTCCAGTCCAATCTTGACCTAGTCTCGGTGGAACAAGGAGGAGATGAAAAGATAATGTGTTGCCAAGGTCAAACACAATACAATCATGATTAACCAGAAAGCTTGAGAAATGAGCAACTCGCATCAACCGAAGAGGTTACTTTTCGGAAGAAGTACAGACCATTCGGAAGCGACCCTTGGCAAGTGAACCAATTCCCTTTTGTGTGCTTTTGTGCTTTAAATGCATCATTAAGAAATATTGACTATCACTGTACAGAACGCTGCATGTGGACGGTAGAGAGCAGGTTGACAGAAAATGTCACTGCCCCAACAGCAACCTCACAGAGGTTCAAATATGTCCACCTTGGGGGCTTTTCATTCTTGGGGGTAGGTAAAGGATGACAGCCAGCAGTGCAGAGGGTTAGCTAAAAGCTGTTCCCATCCAAGGATAACCCGAGAATATGAAAATATTTTCATAAAATCATGATAAAAGACTCTTCCAAGGCATTTTCCAAAGCAACATGGTACAGAAAGAGGAAACCATACACCCTGAGCATTTACTGCATGTAGGTCATGTTTGAAATGGGTACATGCACTAACTCAATACTGCACAGGACTCTGGTAAGTGTAATCATTATCCCCAGGGGTTCAAATGAGGAGCCCAAGGCACAGAAAGATTAAGAAAAAGTCCAATTAATTGAGGATTGGGGTGAAGTGGAATATCTCTCAGTCTAGTTTTGTTACCAGACAGATTATTATATGGTCTGCAGCTTAACACCAATAGTCTTCTCCATGTGTGCAAAGAGAATCCCCATTTGTCTTCATCCTTAGATGGTCAAATCGGCATCTCTCTCTCTCTCTCTCTCTCTCTCTCTCTCACACACACACACACACACACACACACACACACCCCTCACATTTAGATCTCTACTAGGACAATCCAAAGAAAGCAGCATCACGTAGTACTTCCTATTTCAAGATGAACACTTCATCACCGTCTGGCTAGAGCACTAGAGATCCGAGTAATGGAAACAGGAAATAACTGGTGATCTCAATATTAAAGGAATTAGTGTGCAGAGGTGGGAATGAATATGGACTCTGGAGCTGGAAAGATGTGGGTTCAAATCCTGGCTCTTCTCAGCTGTGCTACTCAGAGCACACCACTTGACCACTGTGAGCCTTGATTTCTTCTTATGAGAGGACAGATGGTAACACTCATCTGCAGAACCGTTGTGGCCATTAAATGTGATCGCGTAAAACAACAACTCCTACTAGGTACTCAGTAAATGTCACTTATTCTTTTCTTCAAGCAACACACCTTTGTATCAGGAGGCTCCCACTTTCCATTTATGGAGAGCCCTGGAGTCCTATTTTATCTTGTCAACCAACAGAGGGAGAACCTCTGATTTATATTCACCTTGCCCAGAAGAAAGGAATTATAGCAAGACTATCACAACTTGGGCAGACTTAGAAATAGGTATCTTACCTTCTTATCTTGTTTGAATGGATTGCCAAAAGTATGTAGTCTTTTTGGTTGATCTGGATCAATCTCTCGAAGCGGAGAAGCCAGTGTCTTTAGATATTCCTGATAGTTACCCATTTGTGCGACTGGAACACTATGAAGGGAATCTGTAAAACCACCGGCAAAGAAACAAATGGTACACAGCTGCAGTGTATGCATCATGAGGACAAGGGGACACGATCAGGGGCTCAGTAGGTTGAGCATCCTATTCTTGATTTCGGCTCAGGTCATGATCTCACGGTTTGTGGGATCGAGCCCCGTGTCAGGCTCTGCGCTGACAGCATGGGGCCTGCTTGGGATTCTCTCTCCCTCTCTCTCTGCCCCGCCCCTGCTCACATGTGTGCATGTGTGCTAAATAAATAAACAAACAAACAAATAAATAAATAAAATAAAACTTTAAGAGGGCATGATCATAGTCTGGTTTGGCAACATGTACCCTGGCATCCAATAGTCTAAAATCTCAACTTTTGGGGGCACCTGGGTGGCTCAGTGGGTTAAGCATCTGACTTCAGCTCAGGTCATGATCTCACGGTTCATGGGTTGGAGCCCTGCGTCAGGCTCTGTGCTGACAGCTTGGAGCCTGGAGCCCGCTTCTGATTCTGTGTCTCCCTCTCTCTCTGCCCCTCCCCTGCTCGTGCACGCGCTCTCTCTCTCTCTCAAAAATAAATATAAACATTTAAAAGCATCTCAAATTCTAAGATCTAAAATTATCTCTCTTCATCCCACTCACTACTCAGGGTACCATCACTACTCCCTACAAGCTCAAATCACTAGGCCAAGTACAACGTCCTTAGGCCTCAAACCAGGTTTGAAAATGGGCTGACATCTTGTATGCCACCACCCAGCCTGAAACACCATATTTGTGCTGCATTTCAAAGAGCCTGGCCTCCATGGTTCTCTCTTATCATCCAGAGACCTTGGTTAGTAGGCCTTCCATTCTTGGGGAATGTGACTAAATCTATAGGCTCCCTTCCTAGAGAAGCTTCCCTCCTCTCCACAGAACTCAGTATATAATTTTAGGAGGTTGACCAGGCTAAGATTTAACTCCTTTTAATGGACAAATGACCCTGTTTCAAATGAACACAATGGAGTAAAGGGGAATTGTACACCATCACCAACTGTCCTACACACTACCAGCTTCACAATTTTCATGTAAATGAGGAATTCCGGACTGAATTCATCACGACAGGCTGGGTTGTGCCATTTCCAAAATCTGACAGACCTAGGTCCCGCCACTTTCCAGTTCACTAAACCTGGAGTGGCTATCAAAACGCTCGCCCTTGAGAGAGATATACCAAGAAACAGACTCTTAATCATAGAGGACAAACCGATAGTTACTGGAGGGGAGGTGGGTGGGGGGAATGGGTGAAACAGGTGATGGGAATGAAGGAGGGCACTTGTCACGAGGAGCACCGGGTGAGGTAGGCAAGTGTTGAATCACTGTATTATACACCTGAAACTAATATGACACCGTATGTTAACTGTACTGGAATTCAAATAAAAACTTTAAAAAATGCTCACTCTCAGTGAGCCAATTAATGCACACCTGCCCTACAACCTGAGAACAGGTGAAAATGAGCATTCTAAGCCTGAAAGTATTACAAAATAACCTACCCGTTATGCAATAAGCACTTTCATGTAAGTCAGGCTTGATATTTTCCTAATCAACAAAAAATACTTCTTTGTTCATTTACCTTCATCTTGTCCAACTATAAACTTGTGTGTTTTCAGCAGATTGGATCTCATTCTGGTTAACTGGTCTAAAAGACCTCTACGTGGAATATCATAAGCATTTCTATATGTCTGAGGTTTCAAATCCTGTTTGAAATGGAACAAATAATTTCAGTTACTCCTGAGGCTTTTAATATAGAAATGTAATTCTTAATGCTGCAGTGTATGTAAAATCGTAGTGAAGAGAGGGATATTCAATACAATAACTACCATAGAATTTTGCCAGTGGAAACCTCGCCTTTGCTGGCCCTGTTCCAAATTCTAATATATCCACAACATGCTCAAACCACTGAGAATGTCCTTTCCCAAGTATGTCAACTGGCCTGGCCACCTCTGCCCAACACGGACCTCCTCTATGGGAGATCTCGGTGTCAGACGTCCCTGCTGGGCTGGCCAAGACTTTCTCGAAGCTGCACTCCTGCCTGAGACCCTTCACACCCAATTCTCTTCCTTGTCCCCTCCTCTCACAGGTGCTAGATCAGCCGTGTGGCCTGAAGGTTCCCCCGCCAACTCCTGTTCTCTCTCCCCTTTATCCTTCACAGACATTGCCCCCAAACATATCTTGCACATTTAATTCCATATTGGCGTCTGCGGGCAGGGCAATTCCTGAACTAAACCGTTGATAAGTATGGAGTCCAAAACAGGATCGTAATTATTTCAAAACTAAAATACTATGGCATAAATGCATCAGACAAGCTCAAACAAATACAAAGTATTTATGTCCACAATTTACCTTGTTTAAGAGCCCTACTTGGAAGCCAGCAAATTCTTTGGTATTCAATTCTGTCAGTCTTGGTGCACTTTCCCCTATGATTTCTTTCAAAAGTTTTCTAAAATTTTTACTGTGGGTAAAGGACACGCCACCTCCAGAATGATTTTTCACTTTGATTCCAATCTCCTGGGGAGGTTTCTTCCCCACGGATGCTAGTATCCGTTCTGACTCTAGTTTGGTCTAAAATGAAAGTACATAGTATGTTATGAAAAGATCTATATTATCACTGTTGTTTTTACTACTTAAGAAAGGGAACACTTTAAGAACCCCACAGAACACTTTTCAATTGTAAATCACAGAAAAATGGGTAATTAAACATTTCCCTGTGCTTCTCTGCACTATCACAGCAAACAGGGAGGTGGGGGTGAGAAAAATAACTTACTACATTTTTTCTCTTGTCTAATGGCAAAATTATGATTGGATCATGGAGAGAATGGAAACCATGGATAAGAATTACATTCATAGACATTTAAAATCACATTTTGTTGCTGTAAAATCTAGTCTAAGTCAGTATATTTATTTCAGACCCAGACATAAAGGTTTAAGACTCTGTATTTATAAATGTAAACTAGGGCTAAAATTCAGATTACACAGATTGGCATTACATCTGGAAATAATTCAGCTGTTTGTTTCTAATATCGGACCACCCCCCAAAAAAGTAATGCTTGAATTTAACAAACGTTACCACGCAAATGATTTGTAATATCTGCTCAGTAAGTTTCTAGCTACCTTACAAAAAACTCCTAATGGACGCTGTTAAACCGCATTGATAAATAGTGCCTGACGGTGACTCGTAGCAATATATTGGGCATATCTGGTGATTCACATACATGGTTCAAGGAACACTGGTGACATAGTTGTTATTAAATTAGTAATTAAATTAGTGATTAGAGTGATTACAAATTAGTAATAATTTTTTTCTTTAAAAGAAGGGATTCCACCAGTGCCCATTAAGCCCAAAAGGATTTTTCATTTCTTACGGTTAGGTCGGAGAGATTCATTAATTCTCACTATGATTGGAATTAAGTATGTTTCTTATCTTTGGCACAAAATTAAGTCATTAAATAAGGGATAAGAGCAAATGAAGGGTCTGTTTCCAGAAATGGTCCCGAAATCTCATTTAGAAAACTACACAAGCAACGTGTTCCAGAAGGTCCCAGAACTTGCACGACTCAACTCTGCTCACTATTCTTCCTGGTGGCCATACCCTGCTGACACAGCCTTAAAGGCCTAAGGTAGACATCAAATAAAAAAATATATGTAAATCAATAGGTCAATCAATCAATAAATAACCAAAACAAAACATTCACAACAACAACAAAAATCTATTGGCGGAGAGGAAAGGGGGTCACGGGGACGCGCGGTGGACCAGAAATCTAGGTCTGCCTGTGCTTCCTTTTGCATTTATGAGCACACTGGACCGGCAGGAGCTGGTAAACTCCAGACCATACTTCTGTTTGTGCCGGATCCTAGCAAGGTGTGTCAGCGTCCCCAACTGCGGAGTCATTTTGGTTCTTTGGTGAAATCTGACACTCTTTTGCTTACGGCTGTCTGTCTTCTAAAGGCCCAACTTCCAGACATATGTGACTTAAAGCCTGACTGCCACTGCAGACGCTACCACTGCCCCCTACCTGGGAGCACCCTTGTGCATAAGAAGAAAGTAAAAAGGCTGCATTAGTTTGTCATAGAACGTAACACATTCGTATGGCAGTAACGCTCTACCTCAGTAGCTCTGAAACACTTCCATCCTGCAAGAATGGGCTAGGTAGAGGTGAGAAGTATGGTAAGTAAGGGTGAGTGGAGGATGAGGTACTAATAGAGGGGCAGGCAAGGGACAAGGTGAATAATGGTAAATGAGGTGGGGGCATAAAGGAACGGACGGAGGGCAAGAAGAGAGGAGGTTGAACTCCACTCTTCGGGTCCCCAAGGGGCCTATCACCCTCCAGCGTGAGGAACACTGGTCTCATCTCCCCCTCGCCAAGAAAGAGCGTGTGCATATGTTTATTGCCTAAGAACTAATTTCAGGCCAGACGTTGAGGCACACCATGCCTCAGTGTGCCGACCTAAAGAAGGGGGATGCGCTAGCCCAGTGTGATTGGAGGAGAAACTAGGTTGAGGATAGACAACATGTGACCCATGAGATCATTTTCTTAAGCCTCTGCCCCTCTTAGGCCACAAGATGTCAACCAGCTCGTGGGTAGCACAAACTGGCAAGCAGGAGAAACGGCACAGCATCCAATGACACTGACAGACCCTTAGCTGCAGCTTAACGGTGAAGCTAGAAGCCATAGAGAATCACATTATCACTAATCCATAAAGTGGAGAGATATATACACATTTAATTTGAAAAATGACAATTACACTAAAGAATAAGGAAATGCACTTCTGAGGGCAAAGGATTTTTGTTTGTTTGTTTTTACCAATACTACCTGTTGGCTGAGTTTTTTAAGGTAAGAGATAACACTGTAACTAAGTCCACAATCTAAATTATCTGATATCAGATTTGGAGCTCCCATCATCCTTAGTGCTTTCTTTAATGGCTATAAGGAAACAAAATACACAACAGTAAGAATAGAATAAATCTTAAAATACTCAAAGTTCAGTTATAAGGGGCAAAGGGACATGATTCATTTCTTAGAAGTCAAGGTGCTGCACATAAAACCAAACATGGAACATTAAAAAGTGGCAATGAAAAATAGCAGAGGAGTAAGGAGCAGAAAGTAAAAAATAAAAAGTAAAAATAAATAAATAAATAAATAAATAAATCAGAAGAGAGTAGGATACGAAGATCAAGAAACAGCATATTCAAACAGGTAAATTGCTTTCAGTCTTAATTCCCAAGTCATAAAGTCATTTCATATTGCATTTTATCGTGCACCCCATTCCTGCCATGGTAAATACTAACGCACCCCAATTTCGCCTTCCAGTGACACCAACAGTACCATTTAAGATTCTGCCTTTTCACCTCTAGAAACTTGGCTTAAGGTTTGCTACATCCGCCTCTGAAACGATTTTGGTCATCTTGATTTCGATTACATGACCAGTTCAAAAGCATCACGAAGATTTTTCTCAAGTTGTAAACACCCAAATGAGGCCAAGTAACTTTTGATTCTTTTTGGATTCCCCTCCCCCAACCAGCGGCCCTGCTTCCTGCTGTGTCTAGAACACATTTGACAGGCAATTGGCACATATGCCGCCTTCCAGAATTTCTTCTTTCAGAGGGAAACCCCACATTGAAAATTTCTAGAGTTAAAAAGGGAAGTTGACATTCATACACGAATCCAGACATATTTTTCGCAAATTCCAAAATTCCAATTTCACAAGGTTGCTTTTGCTAAGAGAAACAGAGATGTGTTTTTATAAAAATAACCATGGCAGTTAAAGGAAATAAAATAAGCAATTCTCTTTTGTGCCACCATGACATCTCCAAGGTCTTACGCATAATTCGCGAAGACGGTGGCGATACAGATATTTAGAAATTAAAAAATCTGTCTCATTTCGGGGGTCAAGTTTTTGGCTCACTGACATTTCTTGCAACAAGAATCATCACTGATACAGTTAATGCACATATACGCAGAAATACATACTAATAAGTAGTATGGAGGCAGAGTTTTTAAGTAGCTGTCAAAAGCCTGTCGCCACTTCAGATTTGGCTTAAGCTTGTGAACTTTAAACAAGTCATCTGCAAGAGAAAACCAAACAAAATATTACGTTATTCCAATCCTAAATTCCAAGATCTAAATCAAGCACATCCGTTATAGCATTTCCTAGAAATCTCAGTGTAATTAAAACATTACATTAGACGAACCTTTCTTTGGAACTTATTTGATTGTCTTTTTTTTTTGGGTGCTCTTTGCCAACATTATATATAGCATTTTTCTAGCAAATAAAACAAATTCTCAAGTTACCTACGCCTCTTCCATGTGTGAAGCTACATAAAATCTAGTATTAAAGCACCACCTCTGAGCCACAGGAAATATTTTTCTGACCTCCTACATGCTGGTAACACTACTGTAGTTATGTGCACTGAGGGGGAATCCACGGACATTGGTCGATAAATGGAGGCTGTTAAGGTACGCCTGGGTGGCTCAGGTTGTTAAGGGTCTGACTCTTGGTTTCGGCTCAGGTCATAATCTCACATGAGTTCAAGTCCCGCCTGGGGCTCAGCACGGAGCCTGCCCAATTCTCTGTCTCCCTCTCTCTCGGCCACCTCTCCCCGGCTCTCTAAATAAATAAATAAATAAACAAACAAACAAACAAACAAATAAATAAAGGCTGTTAAAGCAACAACAAAAAAATTAAACTCACAGAGAACAGATTGGTGGTTGCCAGAGGCTGGGTGGGGGAGAAGGGGGCAGGCGAAATGGCTGAAAGTGGTCAAATGATACAAACTTCCACTTACAAAATAAAGTCCTGGCGACTATAGTTAATAATACTGTGCATATTTGAAAGTTGCTCAGTGAGTAGATCTTCAAAGTTCTCACCACAAGAAATTTGTGACTCTGTGTGGTGATGGATGCTAACCAGTGTTCCCAGTGTTCTTTTCACAATAGGTATACAAATATTGAATCATTATGTTGTACATGGGAAACTAATATAATGTTACTTGTCAGTTATATCTCAATAATGAATAGAGAAGTAAACAGTGAGTGTTACACTTTTGGCTGAAAGCTCAAGGTAAGAAGCTTTACAAAGTATATGAGAACAAAAGCAAAGCCTCTAACTTTCAGGCAGAGACTGCAAACTCCAAATTATGCTTTGGATCCTCTTTAATAAGTCTATACTTTGTATAGTCCCCCCCCCCCACCTGCTTCATTTCTTTCATTTCCAAACTTTGGGTCTGTCAAATGCTAGTTACCAATTGGGTCATGGCACTAGCAAAAGCTAGTAGAGATGTTAGGTTGTAGTTCAAAACTCTGTACAACTAAATATATTCTCTTGAATACCGTGTGTGTTAATACCACTAAAGACACTGTCCTTAAGTAAGCAGATCTATCTTTTCACACTTAAATTTAATTGTTTTAATAATCTAAATGCATTCTATACACTACAGGAAAATTTTCAAAATATGTCATTATTCCCTTCTGAGGGAAAGAAAAAATATATTTTATATAATAATTCAAAATCAATAGCCCCACACGTCAACAGGAGCCTGCCACGCTTACTATAAATACCAGAGATATTTCAAATCCATCTTCTATTTTGTTTTTTCAGGTTTCATTGGCTCTTATCCAACAAAAATCCAAATGCTTTACTTCCAGGGACAAAAGCATCCCAACGCCACGTGCATAATTTCTCTACGATTAGGGCTATTCTTTGAAATTCTGAATTACTACAGTTAAGAAAAACAACTACACATTTTCTTCTTTTTACTGCTATAATAAATGATTCACCCCTGCCGAAACTAATTTAAATGAATTTACAAAGTCATAAAATGTAGGTCTTTTGTTCTTTTGGTGCAGGGTAGAAAGAACAAAGAAAACCAGATCTGAAGAGATTTCTGGCTCATTGTAACATGCAGGTCCTTTAAAGACCATTCATATCTTGACAGAAAGGAATGAGAGACTGTGGAAATATCCTGTTACACTTGGGCCTTTATGTGGAGTCTGTTGGGAATGAAGCAGAGTTTTGGAAACTGACACATTGAAAGACCACAAGACTGGGGAGACATCTAGATATAAACAGATTAGATAGTGAAACGAGAATCAAGAATACTCTTAACATTTCTAGCAATGCCGACTGCAATGATTCCACCAATTAGTCTAATTCAGTCTAATTATTTCTTGCCGGAGTTTTTGAAAGGGGGGAAAGAAGAGAGAGAATGTTCCACAATCTAGATTAAGGGTAGAGAGCCACTGGGGTAGCACCCTTTTAGTCACATTCTCCGCAGTTCAGTGAATGATTTCCATGGCATGAGGTCGCCATTCACACGCCATTCTCCACAATGGGACCCCAAAGACGCCATAAACAACCAAGTCGTCAACATTTGAAAGACGAGGAGACCAGAGGATAGGAAAGTGAAGTGATAACTGCTGACACCTCAAAGACTATTGACATTTTCTCTTCCATTCCTTTCTCCCCATTTCCGGCAGCAAAAAAAACAACACCCCCGGGGGGGGGGCGGAAGATATAGGTTTGAGCTCCAGGCTCAGCCACACGCTTGGCAGAGTAAGCTTTGAGAAATCGCTTCCCTTTCTGGGCCTCCATTTCTTGTTCTCCTGATCATAACTGGTCTGAATCCGAATTTTATTTTTTGTACAAGTCCCAGTTCTTAAGTTAAAAGACAAAGCTACAACAAGTGTCTTCATTTCTGTAGTTGTTGGCCCTCGATAGAAAAAATAATTTCCTGGGGCGCCTGGGTGGCTCAGTTGGTTAACACGACTGACTTCGGCTCAAGTCGTGATCTCACGGTTCGTGAGTTCGAGCCCCGTGTCAGGCCTTGTGCTGACAGCTCAGAGCCTGGAGCCTGCTTCAGATTCTGTGTCACCTTCTCTCTCTCTGCTCCTCTCCTGCTCGTTCTCTCTCTCAAAAATAAATAAAAAGATTTTAAAAAAAGAAAAGAAAAAATAATTTCCTTAGTGAGAGATAATCTTCTTGCCGACTGTGTTGTTCTGGTTGCCACCCTACTGACATGATTCCTGTGATAGCTCATTGACACGATTAAGCCTCACTTACCCATTCCAGGTTAAGTTTTAGTGCTTCGATAATTAAACCTCGATTAACTACTTCTGATGGAAATCTTGAATTAATACAGAAAAAAAAAAACAAGGGTGACCTTAATGGACAGTTATGCAACTATGCAGTAATACAGTGATGTTCCTGGGCACTAGGAGGTATGTGTGACTTAACTTGCCCTTTTCCTCAATGCCCTGTCCACCAAACTGCAAAAAAGCCCTATATCTTTACACAATGTCCTTAATATGGACTAGCAGTGCCTCTAAGAGCTATGAAGATAACATAGATATTAATTTATTTAATCCCAACTAAATGCCTTTGGGATTAAATGCCCCACTATCATTACCCCCCCATTTTACAGATGAAATGCCTAAGGCACAGAGAAGCTATGTGTCTTATCCAAGATCACAAAGCGAGCAAACAGCAGAGCCAAGATCCATACCAGGGCAGCTATGCTCTGTAGTCCATACTCTTAACACTATGGGGCTGCACAACCCAGAAAGCGAAGTCACGGTGGAAATGCTGAGAGTGTCCATTTCAGAACTCCACATGAAACTCAAGTTTGGGGTTCGGGGGCACAAGGACCTCCAGCCTCAAATGGTGTGAAAAACCCTGTGCTCCTGGGAAGACACAGGTTACAGAAAAGCGTGGGAATGGATATTTATTTTTTAATGTTTATTTATTTATTTTGAGAGAGAGAGAGCAGAGAAGGGGCAGAGAGAGAGAGAGAGAGAAAGAGAGAGAGAGAGAATCTCAAGCAGGCTCTGCGCTCAGCACAGAGCCCAACTCAGGACTCAATGACCATGAGGTCATGACCTGAGCCGAAATCAAGAGTCAGATGCTTTACCGACAGAGCCACCCAGGCGTCCCTGAAAATGGATATTTAAAGCCAAAGGGCAGAATGGGAACTAAGTCAAGGATAGACTGACCTTCGGATGGATGTGTGGGGTTGGAGAAGGGGGAGGAATCAAAGGTGCCTCTGGGGATTCTGGTTTGAGATGTTTACCGAGGATGGTGACGCTCTAGGCAGGGTGGGATGCTCCGTGTCACAGCGTAAGGAGGACCAGGGACAAATGAGGCACATGTATCTCTTGGGACAGAAGCGTTTCATGGAGAAAGGGAACTTGACACTTGGGGAAGAGAGTAATACAGCCTAACGGGGGACCAAGAACACAGTGCCAGGACCTCACGTAGTATTGGGGAGTGAGAGGGTGCAACATGCGGCAACTTAGGTGCGAGAGGTTTTAGACAAAGGAAGAACAACTCAACCGTTATCCCATGTCCACATCTGACCTCTGCTACCTGCAAGACCACCAAAGGCCAGGCCTAGAGGGAGGGGCGTCTTGTGAAGTGCAGCACATCTCAGTTTCTAATGGGAGACCAGCTACTCTAGTTAGGGGCACTTTCATATGATACTTTGGAAGGCACGCTGAGCTTAGGCCAAAGATGAGGTCCTAAAATTTGGCCCAGAATAGTTCTATGGAACTTTTCCACTGCCCTCCGGTGATAAGGCCACCCCCACCCCTGCGGTGTCCATGTAGACCATGTGGGGAGGAGTAACAAGGAATTCCTAATTCTTAAGGTGTTGTTCTAGTGAGGATCCAGAACTCCCACCCCCCACAGCAATAACAAGGAGCCCCTCCCTTTGAATGTCAACAGAGGCCAAGTGGGGAACCTGGACTTCTACCCCCTCCTGGCACTGAGGAGAGTCAGTACCTACAATCTCTGCCAGGAGTGTGACAGGAAGCTAAACCAGAAGGCTTAAATAAGACAGAGACTCGTAACAGAATACTGAAAATGAACAGGATTCAACTGAAAATCACTCATCATACCAAGAACCAGAAAGATCTCAAATTCAAAAGACAATCAAGAGATGCCAACGCCGAAATGACAGACACATTAAAAATGTCCGATTAAGATTTAAAAGGAGCCATCATAAAAAATGTTTCAACGAGCAATTATAAGCAGGCTTGAAACAAATGAGAAAAACTGAAAGCCTCATCAAAGAAAGAGAAAGTAAAAAGCAGAAGATGTAAAGAAGAACCAAATGGAAATCTTAGAACTGAAAAATCCAATAACCAAAGTAAAAAGCTCAATGGAACAGCTCAAAAGCAGAATGGAGGGGGCAGAGGAAATGATCAGTAAACTGGGAAAGAGAACAGTAGAAAGTACCCAATCTGAATAGCAGAAAACAGAAAACCTACCCCCCTCACATACACACACACCAAAAAATGACCGGATACATGATTTGAAGAATTTCCCCCATTCCATAGCTTGCCTTTTCACTCTGCTGATTATGTCCTTTGATGCACAGAAGTTTTTAAGTTTGATGTAGCCCCACGTGTTTATTTTTGCTTCTGTTGCCTGTGCTTTTGGTGTCATCTCTCTCTCAGTATTATTTTTTTATTGTAAGTTTTTATTTTAATTCCAGTTAGCATACAGTGTTGTATTAGTTTCAGGTGTAGAATTCAGTGATTCAACACTTCCATACATCACCCGGTGCTCAGCACAAGTGCCCTCCTTAGTCCCCATCACCTACTTCACCCATCCCCCACCCACCTCCCCTCTGGTAACCGTCAGTTTGTTCTCTATGGCTAAGAGTCTTTTTTTGGGGGGGAGGGGCGCCTGGGTGGCTCAGTTGGTTAAACATCTGACTTCAGCTCAGGTCATGATCTTGCGATTCGTGAGTTTGAGCCCCACATGGAGCTCTGTGATGACAGCTCAGGGCCTGGAGCCTGCTTCAGAGTCTACGTCTCCTTCTCTGTCTGCCCCTCCCCTGCTCACATTCTGTCTGTCTCTCTCTCAAAAATAAATAAACATTATAACATTTTTAAAAAGAGTCTGTTTCTTGGTTGGTCTCTTTTTATTTCCTTTTGCTCATTTCTCTTGTTTCTCAAATTCCACATGTGAGTGACATCATTTGTCTTTCTCTGACTTACTTCGCTTAGTGTTATACTCTCTAGATCCATCCATGTTGCAACAAATGGCAAGATTTCATTTTTATGGCTCAGTAATATTCCATTGTGTATATATACTACATCTTCTTTATCCATTCATTGATCGATGGATACTTGGGCTGTTTCCATATGTTGGGTATAAAAAATAATGCTGCTATAAACATCTAGTGGCATGTATCTCTTTGAATTAGTGTTCTTGTATTCTTTGGGTATGTATCCAGTAGTGTGATTATGGATCATATGGTAGTTCTATTTTTAACTTTTTGAGGACCCTCCATACTGTTTTCCACAGTGACTGCACCGGTTTTCTCTTATTATTTCTTACAATTGCATGTGAATCTACAATTATCTCAAAATAAGATATAGTCTCAAAAGTAGAAAAATAGGGGCGTCTGGGTGGCTCAGTCAGTTGAGAATCCGACTTTGGCTCAGGTCATAATCTCGAGGTTCACGGGTTTGAGCCCCACCTGGGGCTCTGTGCTGACAGCTCAGAGCCTGGAGCCTGCTTCCGATTCTGTGTCTCCCTCTCTCTCTGCCCCTCCCCCACTCTCGCTTTGTCTTTCTCTCTCAAAAATAATTAAAGTTTAAAAAATAGAAAAATAATACCATAAAACAGTCTACGTGAAGATTATCTAGTCTAATCCTTCCCTTTATAGTTGTGAAAACTGAAGTCATAAAGGATGAGATTGTGACATGGATAGTTTTCTGCTAAGTGAAATAAGTCAGACTGAGAAAGACAAATACCATGTGATTTTGCTCATATGTGGAATCTAAAAACATAAAACAAATGAACAAACAAAAAGGAGCATCAGACCTATAAATACAGAGAGCAAACCGATGGTTGCCGGGGGGGGGGGGGGGGGGCAAAATGGGTGAAGGGGAGAGGGAGGTGCGGGCTTCCAGTTATGGAATGAATAAGTCACGGGACTAAAAGGCACGGCATAAGGAATGTAATCAATGGTATTGTAATAGCATTGTATGGAGACAGATGGTAGCTACCCTTGTGATGAGCACAGTGTAACATACGGACTTACCCAATCACTATGTTGTACGCCTGAAACTAACATACCGTTGTGTGTCAACTACACTCGTTTTTATTTTTTATTTTTTATTATTTTTATTTTTTTTTTAATTTTTTTTTTCAATGTTTATTTATTTTTGGGACAGAGAGAGACAGAGCATGAACGGGGGAGGGGCAGAGAGAGAGGGAGACACAGAATCGGAAACAGGCTCCAGGCTCCGAGCCATCAGCCCAGAGCCTGATGCGGGGCTCGAACTCACGGACCGATCTACACTCGTTTTTAAAAAATATTTTTAAGGAAATAAGTCACTAATAAATAATAAACTTATTTATGAATTTATACATGTTTGAATTTATATTTGTTATATTTATACTTGTATGAATTTATATTTGTTTATAATTTAAACAAATCCACAAAATATAGGTACTTTTTATTGGTACCCTTATTAATATCAAAGACATAACCTATATTTTATAGCAATGACAATCACCTTTCAAACTTTTTTTAATGTTCATTTAATTTTGAGAGAGAGAGACAGAGACAGAGCAGGAGTGGGGGAGGGTCCGAGAGAGAGGGAGATACAGAATCTGGAGCAGGGTCCAGGCTCTGAGCTGTCAGCACAGAGCCCGATGCAGGGCTTGAACCCATAAACTGTGAGATCATGACCTAAGCCGAGGTCAGAAGCTTAACCGAGTCAGTCCCCCAGGCGCCCCAATGACAATCACCTTTTAGAGGACATTTTTAGATTAGACTAAGAAGTGAAGTAGACTATGTACAAAACAACCATGCTAATACGTTTACGATGGCCTGTTCCTAACCTGCAACATTTAAAAGAATTGCTTTTTCAGTACATTTAGTACAGAGTTCACCGCACTAAAAATCTTATGCTTTTAATGACTAGGTTAAACTTAAAGGTTGACACTTTTTGCAAAAACCCCACCAAATAAATATGTTCGCAATTCACAGCTAGGAGGACACCACGTGGTACTCTATTACTCTCAACAGATGCGGCTCTTTCAATGAGAAAAAAAAATCTCTACTCACATTTTCAGTGATATCGCAGTAACAGCTGCCGAAGCTGTTCCTTATAGAATTGTACCATGGAAACTGCAGCTTCTACAACTACAGTCATTACAGAATTTACCCTTGTACCTGTTTCCTTAACTTGCCTGAAACAGATGCCTCCAGAGCATTTAAGACTCGTTTGTGGAGGAACGAGTGGGAGCCAAAACCCGCACAGAAGGCCTACTTCCTGGAGAGGTTCTTGGAGCATTAACCCCAATCAATGGAATTTTGTGTCCCAAATTAGTCTACGAAAAAGCCAAGCGCACTTTAAGCCGGGGGCGCAGAGGGGGGCATGGGGAACGGCAGCATTGGAGCTAAGCGTCCCTTCTGTCTGATGTGAAAAAAAAAAAAAAAAAAAACCAGCAAGAAAATGAACAGAACAGAAAACAGTGTGTAAATACTATCCTTCCAAAGCAGTTTTCAAACTTTTCTGTATCCTGCTATCGCTCTTGGACTACATTTAAAATGCTTAGGCCATTATCCTATTTTTCATTTCTGTTGTATTTTAAAGATGATAACGTGGGAGCGCCTGGGTGGCTCAGTCGGCCGAGCATCCGACTTCGGCTCAGGTCATGATCTCATGGTTGGTGAGTTCGAGCCCCGCGTCGGGCTCTGTGCTGACAGCTCGGAGCCTGGAGCCTGCTTCGGAGTTCTGTGTCTCCTTCTCTCTGCCCCTCCCGCCTTCTCTCAAAAATAAAATAAAACATTAAAAAAGAGTTTAAAGATGATAAAGTGGCACATACTTTACTTACCTAAAAGAGGGAGTAAAACTGGGTAGTTGTACGGCATCACAAAGAGGTTTACACAAGTTAAAGTCGTACTGGCTTTTAAATAACCAAATGGATAACCAAGTTCATTGTATTTTCCACTGCTGGTAACAAATACCTAAAAACATGAAGTAATATATAGTTATGACAATAAGGATTTTATGCGAAACCAAACTCCCAGCAACATCTAAGGCACAGCTAATTTATGTAATTTAAAAATGGCAATAGTGCTTCTAGCCTATGGTTATGCCCAAATATGTCATACTAAATCACATCGCAATTCCTGTATACATTATATTAAGAAATGAGGGGCGCCTGGGTGGCTCAGTCGGTTGAGCATTCGACTCTTGGTTTCAGTTCAGGTCCTGATCCCAGGGTTGTGGGATTGAGCCCCACGTCGGGCTCCGCACTGAGCATGGAGCTTGGTTGGGATTCTCTCTCTCTCTCTCTCTCTCTCTCTCTCTCTCTCTCCCCCTTCCTCCCTCTTCCCCTCTTCCTCGCTTGGGCAGTCTTTCTCTCTCTCTCTCAAATAAATAAATAAAATGAAAAAAAAATTTTTTTAAGAAAAAGAAATGACACCGTACTGTGCAATAACCGCTCGGAGACCACAACGTTCAAATATTTACTTGGTTAGCACAATGGCAAACAAGGCTGAAATAGTGCTAAGTGATAATCAGCCATTAAAACAAACTGACTTCTCAAAAGAACAAGTGGTGACTGGAGTGGAGGCTTTAGAAAAATGGAATATGGCCCCATGCCTAGCATGCAATTACAAAAGCAAAGCCTGTTTAAAGTAGTATGCTAACACTCCTCACGTGTACGATTATCAGTCTTGCTCTACTTCCTTTTGGTACCCCCATTCCCCTATCCATTTATTCATTTTTCATCCAATAATTTTTTTAATGTTTATTTACTTTTGAGAGAGAGAGAGAGCGTGAGAGGGGCAGGGCAGAGAGGGAGGGAGACACAGAATCCGAAGCAGGCTCCGGGCTCCGAGCTGTCAGTGCAGAGCCCGATGCGGGGCTTGAACTCATGAACCGTGAGATTATGACCTGAGCCGACATCGGATGCTCAACCGACTGAGCCACCCAGGTGCCTCTCATCCAATAAACATTTATCAAGTAGCCTATTATAAGCCAGGCACTGGTGCTAATTCTTTTGAGGCAGCAAGGAGATGCTTTGGTTCGGTCTGGAAGGCATTTTTGTCTTATAAATTATGCTGGTAGAGCAAACATTCACTAAAGATCAAAACATTAATCTTTATTCCGTGTGACTCCATCTTCTCCTTTATCGATATTCCTGATTTGCTATATATTATATTGTCAGTTCCCATACACTCGCTGTGCTGTGCTGTGCTGAAGTCCTCTGGCTACCATGCCTTCTCAGTGTTCCGTGTTTGCTCTTTGGACCAAATCAGGGCACCAACATATACTTTTAGGGACCTAGACTTTTGTCTTTTCCAAAGTCCTTCAGCAGGATCATTTAAGACAAAAGTCAAACCCTGGTGGTAAAGAGAATCCATCTACCTTGCTAATTGCTGGTACCAGCAATATCATCTACCAGTTGAGTAAATTCTTGCTATGTTTAGTCATAGCTAAGAATAAATCTTTCCTATGCCATTTATGACCCCACATACAATGAGTTGAGCTGTAAAACAGGACTCATCTAGACTTTGTGTCATAATCTGAACCTTAATAGAAACAAATATCTGTAATAACACATGGTACGTTTTGCCCTATTTCCTAAGTGTGTATAACAGAAGAGGAAAAATCATCATAAAGGATCAAAAGCATTACACACACTGTCAAGGGTCAGACCTATGATTCCCATGAAGGGAGAAACACTGGTTTTTCTCTCTCTCTCTCTCTCTCTCTCTCTCTCTCTCTCTCTCCCTTTTTCCCTTCCTTCCTTCTCATAAGCCCTTCGAGTTCTTCCAAATTCCTTATCACTTGCAGATTCAAAGAACTTGGGGGTTCAAAGGGATCATTAGAGACTGTCTAGAGAAAGTAAGTATCTGGCCCAAGACCACATAAACTGGTGGCAGAGTTAAGGGTTGGAATCCAGTCTCCATTAGGAATTAGCCAAATTTCCTGGCTCCTGGTTCATCTTATTCTTGTTCATCCCCACTAATTCATTGCATTAAAACTACTCTAAATCAAAGTAACGTAAGGTACAGGAGATAGGCATGTGGCATAGTTAAGGGGTGGTGCAGGAAGCCAGGGCTGGATTTAAGTTTCTTTGGATAAGATTTACAAGAAATGTGCCATTTGGAAAAGAGGGCTTGTGTTAGGGGAAAGCTATAATTTGTATTTGCTTTTATTGTGAAATTTTTGTCAACCCATGAAGTCCAACCTCCTATCTTGATTTTAACATTCTACTGTCCATAGCTCTACATTTCTAGCACATTTCCAGTGCACTTAACCGAAATATAAACATACATTCAGAAATGTGCATGAATCATAAGCATACAGCTCAATGGGGGCTCCTGGGTGGCTCAGTCGGTTGAGCATCCGACTTCAGCTCAGGTCACGATCGCACGGTTCGTGAGTTCGAGCCCCGCGTCAGGCTCTGTGCTGGCAGCTCGGAGCCCAGAGCCTGCTTCGGATTCTGTGTCTCCCTCTCTCTCTGCCCCTTCCCTACTCATGCTCTGTCTCTCTCTGTCTCTCAAAAATAAAAAGAAAACATTAAAAAAAAGTATACAGCTCAATGAATGCTCACGAGGTGACTGAACATGTGTAATTGGCACCCAGACCAAGAAATAGAACGATGGCCAGAAACCCCCTCATGTCCTTTGCTGGTCACAACTCTGCACCCACAAGAAAAACCACTATTTTGGCTTCTGACAGAGTAAGCCAACTGTACCTTTTTTTGAATGTAGACAAAACAGAATCATAGGACATGGGATCTTTTATGTCTGGCCTCTTTTGCTCACTATTATATTTATGGGATTGTTCTGTTTCTTGCACTCTTACATGCTTGCTTTAAGCTTGCTCCTTTTTTTCTAACCAGTTTTAGCATCTTTGGAGAATTTAAGTGGCTTAAAGACAGCTAGCAGCAATAATCGCACATTTTAGGATGAAACAGACGGCAGTCTAAAAGCGTTTCTTGTGTAAATAGAACCTAACAATCACTGATTTGCTATATGGTGCTGTAGTCTAGAAATAGAACAAACATACTTCCAGCGTGGGGCCTCCTTACTATATCCAAATAAAAAGGCTGTGACTGCCGTGTCTGGATTTTTACAAACTAATATCCAAAGGTGAATCTATTAACGAATCAGCAAGCCCTTCTGGCTGGAGTAGAACACCTGGAAGGGCCAGCATATGTGCATCTGCCTCGTCCAAGTAAAATCCACATTACACACGCCAATGTGCTTGGTACAGGAAGAGAAGTTTGGTTACATTACACTAATCCAAAAAGTAGTTTCAGGGCTTAAGGTTTGTGTGTGTGTCTGTGTCAAAAATATTTTGTACACATGAAACTAATATTACCCTGTATGTTAACTAACTGGAATTTAAAGAAAAGCTTAAAAAAATAGATCTTGTGGGGCGCCCTAGTGGCTCAGTTGGTTAAATGTCCGGCTTCGGCTCAGGTCAGGAGCTCGCAGTTCATGGGTTCGAGCACCGCTCGGGCTGTGTGCTGACGGCTCAGAGCCTGGAGCCCGCTTTGGGTTCTGTGTCTTCCTCTCTCTCTGCCCCTCCCCCACTCACGCTGTCTCTCTCAAAAATGGATAAACGTTAAAAATTTTTTTTTTTTTAAATAGATCTTGTACTTCCAATCTGTCAAGTTCACGCTAAGGTTCAGCTGCAGAAGCCACAGCTAAATAGAAGGACATCCTTTAGGTTAGGGATGCTTAACCTGGGGTCCCTGAATAGGCTTCAAGGGGTCCGCCAAATCCTCAAATACACAGGTGTCATCAGATTCCACTCCCTTAAATGGCAATGTCAGGAGGCTAATGATTCCTATCACACTGAAATGATTTGCTTGGCCCTGTTGCTTATTTGATAGGATTTGTCAGAAAAGTTATTAACAGATTCAGTCTAATTATTCCTAGATTAACCTTTGCAACTTCTCAAAACAATTCCCCGATCCCAGAGTGGTTACAGACATTGGGCCAACAGGTAAGGGGAAGTACCTGCCAGCAGGTATGGGGAGACTTTCGTTCCAGGATGTACTGAGTTAAGGGTGAAGGTTCAAGTTCATATTTGTCAAAAGGAAGTTTGTCTATTACCATTGGCTCACAATCTACACAGGAGAACCTCACAACAGGATGAGATGTTCGTGGAGGCTAAAAAACAAGAGGGGAAAATACGGTCCGTTAGCAAGTGAGCTTATATTTCTGACAAATCTGCAACCCCTTTCGTGTTTTTGTTAAACCATCGCTGAGATGAAACCAGCGCTTTGAAAAGGAGGGCATCACCAACGGCTTCCATCCGGGAAGGGCCCACAGATTCTTTATTTCTTCCATGTGAAGTGGAAACTACAACTGCTTTGAATACGGTTAGGAAGTCACCGATGATCCATAGGATGAACCCTGATTTTCAGATCCACTGTTGCAACCTCCAAGCATGACCCGCCCTTCATTCCTTTGTACCCAAAAGGTTACGGATGGGCCAGACGTGGCTAGCAAAGAAGAAATCCATGAAGATTTCTGATGAGTTGATGACAGACCTAGAGCCACTAACAAGCAAAATGAAAAACTGTAAAGGCATGGAAAGGGCAAGGCAGGTGCCCCCAAATGTGCCAGTCACAACACCCAGGACTAGTGGAAATTTTTTTTTTTCAACTGAAATTTTTATAGCACTCCTCACACCCACACGCTTGCTTTGAACAGCTAGGGCTGGGTATGCTTTGGATTGGGCTGCAAAGGCCTCTGTGCCTGTGCAGATTGGTGGGGCAGCCGTTTCGTTAACAGGTTTAGCTTGTGGGGATAGAGAGCGCCCGGGAGAGACATGGCGGCAGCAAGAGAAATCCCAAGAGATGAGAAGACAGGACCGAGTCCCGGGGACAAGGGTGAGATGTGGCTGCACCTGTTCTTGCCGAGAGCTCTCTAAGCCAAGCATGAATGTGACAAACCATCTCTGTTTCCCTTTTAAAGGGGAAAAACATGCTCCTCTGCCTTTATGGTTTACACGCTTACAAGATGTGTTGGGAGTCGAAACAGCCATCAGATGTGCTTTCAGAGCTGCAGGGATGGTAGGTAACACGGGTGATGTGGGAGTGAGCCGGAATTTCTTTCATTCCAGTTTTTTCCTGATTTTCATTTCAATTAGACTTGAGAAATATTTCTGGCTTTTTACATTTAAACCGATTTAAAAAAAAAAAAAAAAGGCCGTAAAGACCCAAGTGAAGCCCCGTCACTGGTGACAATAAAGTAAATTCGTGACCAAAACATTCACTCTCTCGGGTTTGGAGCTGAGAGCAACTGGGCACCGGGATCTGACCAGTGTGTCACCTTGGAGCCCTGAGGGAAGGTGGAGGAGATGTACCCTCACTCCCAGCCGGGGCGGAAGTGGCCCTTCAGTCCCATAGTCTCATGGCCTCTCCTGAAAACAGGAGCCTAAAAGGAGTAAGCCAGGAGAAAATGCAGTTCACGTCAGAAATTTCTAAATTTTTTTTTTTCCAACGTTTATTTATTTTTGGGACAGAGAGAGACAGAGCATGAACGGGGGAGGGGCAGAGAGAGAGGGAGACACAGAATCGTTAACAGGCTCCGGGCTCCGAGCCATCAGCCCAGAGCCCGACGCGGGGCTGGAACTCACGGACCGCGAGATCGTGACCTGGCTGAAGTCGGACGCTCAACCGACTGCGCCACCCAGGCGCCCCAGAAATTTCTAAAACGTACACAGAACAGAGACGGGCTGAAGCAGTAAGGGGCTAAACTGAAGGCTCGGTGATTGTTTTGTGCCCACAGAAGGAGGATTGCTCTGGCCTTTTTACAGAGGCTGCGGGGAGGAAGAAGGGGGAGTGGGTTTCGTGCGCTTTCCCGTGTTAGCAGATACCTGTCTCCCACAAAAGTCCACTTCATCTGGGACTAAAAAGGAGCAACTACAATATCAAACCTTCCTCTCCTGAATGCAGTGAGGAAAAAGGAACGTCCTCATTGAGAGATAATTTTTAAAAGATCGCTTAGTTACGGCGCTTGGGTGGCTCAGTTGCTGAAGCGTCTGACTCTTGATTTTGGCTCAGGTCATGATCTCGGGATGATGAGATCGAGCTCACCATGTGCCAGGCATGGAGCCTGCTTGAGATTCTTTCTCTCTCTCTCTCTCTCTCTCTCCCTCCTCAAAAAATATATATATATATAGACAGAAATAGAAAGATATATGTATATATATATATATATATATATATTGCTTAACTACCCATCATTGGGAGGTACATTGCCAAGGAACACAAGTCCATTGACTACAAAAAGATGAAAAGCAGGTCCACAAAGTTCCACTAGGTGTCTAGTGACTCCCTAGAAAGATGTAGAAGAGCTTCTGTTTTGAATATGTTTCTAGAACCTACACAAGGTGCAAGCTAAATTGTAAGTCCCTGAGGATGTACATGAAAATCAATGCTAGCACTCTTCAGACATTGCGTCTGCCATGTAAATCAAGTCAGCCACTCTGAAATAAGAGCCAAGCCACCGATCGCAACACCATCAAAAATAGCCATGCCCTAACATCCAAAGTGGGCAGCTCAAGTGGCAAAAGCCACTGAAAGGAAGAATGCCAGAATAGCACGAAGTCCTCTCTTGCTTTTTGGTACAAGCTTATTAGACTCCCAGCAAGAGATAGAAAGCACGGCTTAAAATCCTCAAAGTAATTTACAAGGGTCACTGTAATCAGGAAACGGAAAACCCAAATGATGTTTACCATTTTGTTTTATGCTACTTACTAGTGAAGGTAAATTCTGATCTGGCCAAAAAGATTCTGGAATTGGCCAATGTCCAACAGGAACACCAGTTTTAGAGTTAGGCCGTACATAAATCAGCTTATGGCAACTATGCCAGGGTTGAGCAGCAAATGAATTGCTTGGCCTGGATGAATCCGTAAGTCCATCTACAAGTTAAACAAAGACAGACACTAAGGCATACAGTTCTTTTTCCAGCTGCTGATCTTCTCGTACAAAATTTTCAGCTAAAAGCAAAGTACAAAACAAACCAAAACACCCCGATCCTTAACTATGCCCCAAATGCATAGTTACATCGAAAACCATTATAAAATTAATTTTCAATTTGCTGAGATTTGGACACATAAATTAAACACAGCACGCCAACTAGAGTTATTCTTCCAAATCAGGCAAATGCAATCGCTCATCCCCTGGTATGGTTTTTACATTTGTGGAATCTGACAAAATAGGTCATAAATTCCATTTGCCTTTTCTTTCTAGTCCCCATTAAGTGGCAAAAATATGCTTGACTAAACCCACCCAATGACTACAAGAGCAAAATGAAAACGATCCAGATTCACTCCAAGATAGAAGGAATGTAGGGGCGCCTGGATGGCTCAGTCGGTTAAGCGTCCGACTTCGGCTCAGGTCATGATCTCACGGTTCATGGGTTCGAGCCCTGTGTCGGGCTCTGTGCTGACAGCTCAGAGCCCAGAGCCTGCTTCGGATTCTGTGTCTCCCTTTCTCTCTGTTCCTCCCCTACTTGCACTCTCTCTCTTTCTCTCTCTCAAAAATAAACAAAGATTAAAAAAATTTTAACATGGAAAAAATTAAAAAAAAAAAAAGAACCGTAGACAAAGGAGAAATGGAGCTAGAAAGAAAAATCTGAGCTATTTACATGACACCAAATCCAATAGGCTTCCAGTATGACCATCCCCAGTTCACATTAAGGTAACTGAACACAAAAGTATGGATGAAGCAGTGAATCGTTAGCAATACATAACATGTCCTTCCTTTACAATTACGTTAATGAATTTAAAACAGACTGTGAGGCCTCAGTCTTCTGTGGTGGGTGTTCTTAAACTGGAGTCCAAGAAACTCTAGAATTAAATACAAAATTGTGTTTGTGTGGCCTATGTCCGTTCTTCTAGGGAGAGAGGTCTCTATTTTTCCAACAGCTTCTCAAAGGGTTCAAGGCACTAAACATCAGAAAGGTCAGGAGCCACAGGATCCACGGCTTCCGACAGAGACGTATGTCTTTCTGAGCAGCTATGACTGATTGTGGCCACACAATTAAAACTCATGGATCAGGAGAATCTCGCTGAGTCAGTCGATAGAACATGTGACTCTACGTCTCAGGATTGTGAGTTCAAGCCCCACACTGGGCATGGAGCCTACTTAAAAAAAAAAAAAATGTATGGATCAGGTCAGACAGGCACGGTGGTAATGATGTGTGCGAGAGCACAGGATCGAGGTGAAGCGCACAGTGCTCCAGGGCTTGCGGCGCAGGGTTGATTTGAAGGAGAAGACCCTTCCCCTGTACAAAAGGACCTCTGCTATCATCCACTGCCATAATCTGTCTGTTTTGAGATGTGGGACGTTCTGTGAGATGTCATTTGAAGAGAAAAGATTCTGCAGTTAAACAGTGGCCAGGAAAATACTGGTGTAGGATCTTATAGGATATCAGCAGTTTCCGGATAAAGGTTCACCATCTCTTGCTGACATACGGTACCGAACACAGATTTCATAAAGATAGCGTGGCCCATTTGGCACTCACAAGACCAAAACCAGATTACTGGTTAAGTGGCACTCCTCCATGATTCTCCAGGTACTTCGTTCATGGAGAGGTGAATAATGCAGGGTATCCCAAGACTGGGACCAGGGAAGATGAAATGGGTAAGAAAAAGGAAGAATTTTCTTAAGAAGGTTTGCCACTGGATTAAAGTTGTTAGCATCAGACCAAGTGACACGTGAACGCATGGCCATTGTTTGGATGGATGTTTGCAACCACATGAACGTGTGTGGATAGTACAGGCTGTGTCTATTATCAGTTTACTGTCTTCCCAACCTCGGATCATTCTCTGGGGCGCAAAAAAAAAAACCACAAAAAAGTCACGTACTGTACCTTCTCCAACAGGAAGTGGATCTGGTCCCGTTTTTTCAAAGTTAATAACTACACCACTCTGAATTTTCTGAACTAGAGATTCTAAACACTGATTCAACATTCTTTGTGTTCTAACACAGTAGGAGCGACCTATACCAGAAGGAAAAGCAAACAGTGTCAGTTTGAGCAAATAAAATACTACTTAACAACGTAAGCATCTGAAATCGTAGAGTATATCTTGAACCAATCATAACTATGTTGGCTGCAAACATCACACTCAGGATGAGCTTAAGCAGGAGAGCTGAAAGATTCTGAAGGAAAACAAGACAAGACAGGATACGGCATTTAAGCAAAACCATACTCTGCTGCTCTGAATTCTTCCTCTAGAAATATGAAATATTGCGAATACCTCCTGTGACTTCACACATCTGTGTGATGGCAGACTCATCAGTTGGTACACTCCCTAGATGCTCTGGTTCCGTAGAAGCCAGTCCAGGCAAACGCAACACCAGGGCAAATAACCTTTGATCCCAACGAAAAGGTTCTTTGGTTAGTTCACTTCCAGGCAGAGGAGAATTCAAAGGAAGATGAAGCTGATAAGGCAAAAGTTGAAAAGTTTCATCATAACAACCCATACAAAACTGAAGAGAGAGTCAAAAGGGTCACTTTTCTTTCATGTACTCGGTAATCTTTCAAGGATTGTGAAGACGGAAGGTCTGATCAAACTTATTCTTAACTGGAAACGTATGCCTCCCACAGAAATAGCTGCATGTTCTCCGCCATGTAAACGAAATTTACAAAAAAAAACATGAAATCTCACCTCTTCCTGAACACCAGCAGTACTTGTTAACTTGTTTCCATCTGTGATGGTAATTAAAATAGATGGTTCTAAAAAAAATGGATTTCTCCCCTAAAATACATTTAAGAAGTATTAGAGCCATGTAAAGTAATAAAATGGTATTTAAACTTTTACATCTGCCTGGCCAGTGATCTCTCAAGTGTGTGATAAAATTTGCCTGGATAAACAAGAAGGAAAAGATTAGGGATTGAAACGGGTGGGAAATCCAAGTAACAATCCCTGCAGAGGTAACATTCAGAATGGACTGAGGGATTCTTATCAGTCAGGAACTCCCCCAACTCGCATATCCAAAAACTCCTCTCCCTCTGTGGTCTAAGTAATCATAAAAGAAAGAGACTGGCAAATTCCTGGCACAGGTAGGGGGACATTAGTGACTCATGCTCTGCAATCTGGACTCTACTCTGGTTACTGCGAGCAGAGTTTCTGGGGCACGAAAGGACACCACTATTTCTTCATCCATTTATCCATCAATGGACACTTCTAGAACTTTTTCAATTGAATTGGGAGAGGCGAGAGGGAGCTAAGGACACTGAAAATTTCTCTTCAAATACCTTGTTCCAACACTTGTCAGCAATTTATTCATCCCATTCTCAGACACCTGATGACCTGAGGGGGAGGCAATTGGCCCTACACATTTTATCATCAAGCCACATACAAGACCCCCCAAAAGGGGGACATTTTTTTTAAAGTATGTGTTTGAAAGATATGGACTTCCTTTGGGCAGTTGTGAAAAGTAGCAGAAAACTTGGTAACCACGCCCGGTTTTAAATTCTTACCCCAAGTCACCAAAATAAATTAGCTGTACTCACTCAAAAGTTTTTTTTACCTGTCCATAATTGTCTATTCCAGATATTAATCTATTGAGATTTAACAAATCAAATGAGGATCTTAGAGCCTGACCAAGAGTAGTCAGTCCAGAAGCCTGAAGATTTTTTAGTTCACTCATGAATGTTGCGTGATTTTCCTTCCAACCAGCCTGAAAACCAAACATTTACAAAGAAATTCCCGATTACACAATGAACAATATATAAAGTGCAAACAACCACTAAACAGCAAGTATCCAACCTCTAACAGATTCACTAGTCCCTCGATCTAATTCTAGTCTAGATCTTGGCTGATCGGAAAGATCTGTCCGCGTTAACGACCAAGAGCAAAGAGGCAAACGGTGCATTCGTCCATTCTGGCTGGGAGGCTCTGGCTCAAGAAGCCCAATCTTCTCTTCAGGTCCAATCAAACCTACCCAAACACCTCAGTGTTTACCTTAGTTTGACACTGATGATGAGCATGAAGAAAGGAGGAGAGGAGGGGCTATTTTTAAGTGCGCTGTCCTTGATAGAGACAATTCGCTACTGAGGGGCTGAACTGCATGAACTTTCCTCACCAAGATTCTTGCCCCCAAACAATATGTTCACTTTACGTAAGAGTCAAGGGGGAATTCTAGGAATAGAGCCACCACTATTCGGAGACAAGCTTTCTGGCATCTTCAAACATTCAGAAAGCCCCACGTCTAGAAAAAGGGGAGAAAGAAAAGAAATTTAAAACGTTTTGGCAAAGAAGCAGCCCCCAGGCACTCCCAGCAGCTATGAGCAGCAGCAAAGAACCAAAGACCCCAGGCCAGCAGCCAACATGCTGTGATCGAATGGTTTGGAGACCAGGAGGAAAAGGTCACGTTGACTGGGGGCCAGTAATGGCTATAAAAACAAAGCAGCACCAAATGCAAAGAAGAGAAGCCAAAAGAAGAACTGGCAGTTGACAGCAGGTCACAGAGGAGAAGGCCAGCAAAGGAGAGAGCAAACAGCACAGCTTGGCAACTGGGTGGGACAAACAGCCACCTTAGTGTTGGTGACACTGAGGGCAGCAGTGGGATAGGGTGAATGCTGAAGTCATGCCAACCAGGCCGGTACCGCTGGAGGTGGAAGGCGAGAGCAAATAATAAGAGATCGACCAAATCATTTCAATTTCATGTCTGGCCGAAGGCACACTGGCCATTATCCATGCAACTACAGCAAACGTTCTCTCTTCTAGTTTCATAGTCTCCAGGAGCAGTTTGGGTCAGAATGACTGAGATATCTGCATGACCCTGAGCGAGCCTGTTGGCCCCAGGGACCGAGATGGTATTCTCTGGAATTGGAGAGGATTAGGCAAGCAAGGGACACTGTGCGAGGCTGTGCGTAACATAAGCAGCGGAAGGAGTCATTCACATTGGAATCCGACAGAATGGCGCCCCCTTCGGCTGAACCGTCCAGAACCCGCATAACCATACAGGGTGAAGGTCCTGGTTAATATCCATTCCAGTCCAATAGTCTGAAATTCTGTGAAATTAAAGATGTGCTTAGCCGTTGGTTTTTTGTTTTTTTGTTTTTTTGTTTTTTTTTTTTTTAATATTCCTGACATATCCTACAGATCGAAGGGTCTAAAGGTAAAACCTTTCCAAGTGTCCCTTTGGCCAGATTGTATATATGACTTATAGTACCTAGGGAAAGCAGAGCATGAGAATTCCTTGTGGCCTAAGGGAAATCTTAGGCCACAAGCAATTATGGCCTTTTCACTAAAAGCGTAGTTACAAAGAAAGCTTGTGTGGAAATTGGCCTCCTCAAATACCTAGAACTATCAGCACGTTGCAAATCACACTGAATTAAAAAATGAGCTTTCTTCTTTGTGGTGGAAGAGAAAGGTATGCATTTGGGAAGGATACTAGCAATTCTTTCCTTTCTTCAACAAATTTGCCCGGGCCGACTATGCCGTACTGGACAGAACACTACACGCTGGAGATCTAGAAAGGGATCAGCCCTTGAGGAGTTCCTGTCACAGAGGCATGAGAAATGTATTTATGGGCACTAAAAGGACAAGTGACCAGAAGGTTAGGGAAGGCTCCTCACGGAAGATGGGGCATCGGAAGAGGAGCACAGGCCATCCTGCACTGATGGCAGGTGTGGAGGGGCAGGCCAAGGAAGAGACCGAGAGTCCACGGAAGGATAGGGCAGGAGGCAAGGCTGATAAGTGGGGTTCTGGCTGTATAATGCTTTGTAGTTTGGATTTTATCTGTTGGCTCTGGGAATAACTTGAGGTTTTTAATCAGGGCAGCGGCTTGATCAGATCTGTGTTTTAGCAAGATCGTTCTGCTGGGGAGTTGGAGAACCAACTGGGGAGTGGAGGGGAGGCTGAAGCTCGAGGCAGGGAAACTGGTTTGGAAACTGTTGCCATAGCTTCTGGGAAGAGCAGAGGGGAGGAGAAGGGGCTGCCGACGAAACAAGAATTTCAGAGGCGGCGTCAGAAGGATTTGGGAGCTGATCAGAAGGGATGGGCGAAGGACCCAGGTCATCCATTAGGTCGAGCTTTGTGGCCTGGGCAAACCTGAGAATGGTGGGCCCTTCCCTCACAATCCACTTTATAAAGTTGACTGCTTTCTCGGAGTTACTTCACGTAGCAATCTTACTTCCACATTGTAAATTCCGCATTATACCCACAGCGAGCACTGAACTCCTGGGAGCCGCAAAGCAGTCCGCGGCATGACTAAAGAAAAATGAGCAGACAGCTTGGTTTGGTAAAGGGCTGGCGTAAGATGTGGGTACCACTTAGGCAAGCACCCTGTAACTCCTCCATATTGAAAATAACGTGTCCCGATTGTTCAGAGTCTTGCTAATTAATCTGTCGGAATAATTGCTCTTTCGATTTCTCTTTAGCCTATGGATTGGAAGGAAGCATTTTACAAATCATTCCTGCACTTGAATCGCTGGCATTCTGTTATCAGGTCAATCCCAATTCTTTGCAATGAACTGAACAGCACAAGAACTAAAAGCCCCTAAACGCATTCCTCACCATGCTGAAGGGGAAAGAGCCTACGGATTAATCTCACTATCTTGAGAACTTCATTAATGTGACAAATTTCTTCCCAAAAGATAATCATGAAGAGCTAGTGGCAGAAAGTCTGTGTTTCTATTTCTTGCTCATTGTTTGGAGTTGATTTTTTTTTTTTATAGAAACGAATTCAGGACAGCCCGTTTCCTAATACAGTCTTCTTAACACAGTCTTTTCTTTCAAATTACTCCAAAGGTTCGCTACTCTCAGGGTCAGTAAAATCTTGACTCACGATAATGAGTTCCATACATTCTTATGGAAGCTTTACAGCTTACCAAGTACTTTCACATTTCACATTTGGTTAGGACAACCCTATAAAATAGGCATGGTATTACCGTCCCTCTTTTGTTTGCCGACACCAGGAAGAAGTAAGACTTAAGTCGGTCTTGTTTGTGGGGGTGATAGTGGCAGGATTGGGGATCGAGCCTCGCGTCGGCTCCACACTGAGAGCAGAGCCTGTTTGGGATTCTCTCTCTCTCTCTCCCTCTGCCCCTTCCCTGCCCTCTAAAAAAAAAAAAAAAAAACAAAAACAAAACCCCCAAAACACGGCTAGTCTGACTTGAGATGTGAGGTAAGTGTAAAATCCATGCGGCGTCTGGAGGACTTAGAAGAAAAATAAGAATGACACTATCTCAGTATTTACTTTTATATTGGTTACGTGCCGAAGTGATACTGTTTTAAATTTTCGCAGTTCAATAAAATGTATTACTAAAAGTTCCACCTGTTTCTTTTTACTTCTTAACGTGGCTACTAGACGAGGTTACAATTTGTGTATGGCTGGCATTATATGTCTGTTGGATCGAGATGTGCTAGAAGGACCTGGAGGTCAGGCAAGGGAGCTCGGCCTGGCTTCGGCAGACAATAGACTCATTACAGATTCCAGGGGAGGGGGAAACAGGATCAAAGCAGTGTCTCAGGAAGGTCAGTCTGGCAGTGACACATAGGACACATTGGGGAAGGAAGGCAGGCTACAGATTTCTGTCCATAGCCAGGAAAAAGAAGCTAGGAGCCTTGACTAGTAATCCCAGCCTGAGGGAATCAGGACCTGAGTTAGCCTGGGAATGAAGAAGAAGAAGGCAGAAACATTTTAAACCAACAAGATAGGACTTGGTGACAGACCGACCATGTGCGTGAAGGAGAGAGCGCAAAGACGGTTACAAAACTTCTAGCCCGGGAGACCAGAGGGACAGAGGTTTGGGATGAAGGGGCGACCTGAGACGAGTGAACTCCTGAACTAAGGGTTTACTGTCTTAGGTCAAGTTGTAAAAGTCTCCCTGGAGTAAAGTCACAACGATGATGAAGACGGTAATGGTGGTCAGTAATAATCATAGGTAATGTGCATCTGTGCTTATGTGTCAGGACCTCACTTAGGCTCAGCATACCATTCTATCTGTAGCCTCATCTGGGCACCTTCACCACCCCACGAAGTAGGTGCTGTTATTACTTCCATTTTATAGATGAGCACACTGAGGCTCAGAGAGGATAAGCAACTTGTCCAGGGCGAACAACTAGGAAATGACACGGCTGGGATCTGAACGCAGGTAGCCTAATTCTAGAGCCCACCAATTTAAACCACTATACTCGAGAATCTTCTAGGTAGTCCACATCCTCACCTTGTAGACAAGTCTTGTTATAGCTCCAAAGTCATACACTTAATGGAACTTCCAAATTTCCTTTCAGTGAAACTTCCTTTCCCTCATGTCTAAATGCAGACCAGTTGCGTGTGGGGAGCAGTGACCTAGGACTTGGAAGACCCTGGTCCATTCGTGGCTATAGCCAACTAGCAAAGCAACTGGTCCAGAGTAAGTCGTTTATCCCTCACTGGGGCTGTTGTCTCATCTAAGCAACGAAAAGGTTGAAAAACCAACTGGAAGGTCCCTTTGGGTTTTTGTATCTTGTAATTCCATACCTTTATATAAATCTGACTTACAGAAAGAAAACAACTCACATCTGAATCAGTACGTTAGTTCGGGCCTGGTTGAAATGTGTATTGGCAACTGAAAACGTCTTTGAATGCCAACAGAAGAAGTATGGGCTTTTCAGTCTACCAGTGCCTTGGGTTCTGTCCCAGCTCCAGACTAGCCACTAGCCATTTATCGTCCACTCATATCACCACAG